CAAAACAAAAATGGCAGTCTGATTGGCACTACAAGAACAAGTAAGATGTTCACCAGAGAACCAACAAGGCAAGCAATCAAGTCCCTTCAGGGCAAACTTCCCTCCAAGACTGAAACTCAAAAGGAACACATGAGCAGGCATGTAAGATTACTAGTGACCACATTGGTCAGTTGGTGAGTGAAAGAGGGGGAAAGGCAGCAATGGGCTGAGTTCAGCCACGTTCCATAGACTCCCGTCAACCTGGAGATGAAAGAGATAAGAGGAAGGACTGGTTGGTCTGAAGTGTGGTGAGTCCTGGGGACTCCTGAGCCCATGAGCAGGGACATAGCCATGGAGGGTGACAGCTGAGAGTGAAATGTCCAGCTGATATGAAGTGAGGGGAGAGAGAGGTACAAGAACACCCAGATTTGTAGATAGTACCCATTCAACCTAGCCTCGATGGCTTGATAATCAGAACTCGACTAGAGGAAGATTAAAAAAAAAAAAATTTGTTTTTGATAAAGGAAACAAGTTTAAATTGCTACAATTTGATGAACTTGACCTGCCTATACTTATGGATGTAGTAACTCAAAATACCAACTGAGCGGGAAGGAGTCTTCATATCAAGGATCAATCCTATCCCTTCTATACACAGGGTTGATAGGGACAGGCAACTTAGACCTTGGCTAACTAAAATGAGGGGAGATAGAAAGGCATGAAATGACTGGCTTACAAGTTTTCAAGAGGGAGTTTAGTTTCAGAGTGTGCAGGGGAAGGTAGAACCCCCACTGAATAGTTTCTATGTTGTCTAGCTGAGTCTGGTGAAAGGAGATGGGGATAAGATTCTTATGATTCAATAATGAGTAATTGTTATCATGACTAATTGTAAAGGTAGAAGTTGTGTAACATAAAGGGGAGAGTATTAATTCAACATTCTAGGACCATCAAGGGAGAAGAAGCATGAGTGGAATGTGGGACCCTATTCAGAGAAGCAGTGAGACCAGAGATGAGGACATGGAGAGAAAGAGCAGCTGAGGATTCTAGACTCATGCAAAAAGAAAGGCTGTGTGCTGGCAACCAGGAGGCAGGCTTGCAGAAAATGTCCTTTGGTTGTTTAAATGATTATATATTCCTGAGTGTTTTTGTGTACACTCCCCCCGCCACCACCACCCAAAAACCCCGGAGGGAATAGAAGCAAATACTACTGAATGATGATACACAGAGGAGATTTTAATCATTGCAATGAATAGTGTAAAACCGATGTCTTCCCATGTAAACTATCACTCAATTCACAGTAAAAACATTTAAAAAAAAGATAATGGAATTTTTCCACAAACTTTTTGAAATCTCTTCACAGATACATAAATGAAGGGCTTCAAAAGGTCGTAGAAAAATTCCATTATTTTTTCATTGCATTTTATCACAAACATTTTGAAGCCCCCCTTGTATTTGTATGTGTGTGTGTATATGAGCCCTGGTGGCACAGTGGATTAAGCATTGAACTGATAACTGTATGCCAAACTGATAACTGTACATATGTGTGTCAGAACAGACTATTTTTAATAACTATTCCTAAAACCAATTTATAAACAAGGGGGAAGTACATGTGATACCATGTTAAGTGAAAATTCTAAGATACAAAACTGTACAGTAATAGATCAAAATGTTCACAATGGGAAATGGATACTTTATCTATATTTACCTCTACAATCTCAAATAGTCTACAGTGAGCTTCTAGAAATTACATAATTAGGAGAATTTTTTTTAATACAAAGGATGTTTATGTGATTGAATGAATAAAAAATAAAAGTCTACTTAATTTGTAATTGATGTGTTTATAGGGGCAATAACCATGGCTTTGCTAGAAAACCTGGTGGCAGGAAATGTGTATATTGTCAAGATATCTGCATCTAATGAGGTGGGAGAAGGACCCTTTTCAAATTCTGTGGAGCTGGCTGTTCTTCCAAAGGAGACTTCTGAATCAAATCAGAGGCCCAAGCGTTTGGATTCCGCTGATGCGAAAGGTCCGTATATTGCCACAGACCTTGACTTTTCTGAGGAAAAAATAAAGATGCGTGTATTTTTTCCCCCAGCTCTCTTGTATTTTATTTCAACAGCCCTAAACTTGTACTTTGTTCCTTTGTTGTTACTTGTGAGGTTCTTTTATTACAGGGCTATGTGGCTCTTCTCTGGGCTCCTGGAAGGAGGCAAAATTACCTCAAAATTAATTACAGTTCTCAGATGCTGTGTTGCAATCCCTTCTTTTCCCAGCTGTGCAGCCACCAAGAAAGACCACCCTGCCCAGGCACTGATGGGCAGGAGGCTTCCTGGCAGGTTTCATGGAAATAAACAGCCATGGGATTGTGGGGATTATGGTCTCAAACTAAGAAGAACATGGTTTTCATTATGAGTTTTCGCCACAGTAAAACAGCTTTTCCAGAGAGAGAGTTGTTTCTCTCTGGAAAAACAATTGGGTAAAATATGTGTTTAAAGAGCACCCTTTAGTGCACTCAGAGGAGTTTTGCTCTTTTCTGAAAGAAGCCGGGGCCCTGTGGTGCCAGACTAGACACCTTTTCCTCCTTTCTGGGTCTGTGGGTCTGTGGCAAGGGAGTGAGGGGTGGGGGCAGTATAGATGCAAATGGAATGCCAGCTGACCTCAGGACGAGATTAAGGTCTCTAAGGACCATGGAGAATTCATTGACGTTGTGTGTGTGTGTGTGTGTGTGTGTGTGGTGTGTAAGGAGATAGCGTTGGTAGCTACCATATGATCAGGGAAAACCAAGAGTAAGGCTTCTATTCAGTTGTCAGATACCTGGCTATTCAAATGGTCGAGGGACCAGGAACATGGGCATCTCTGAGACCTCGTTAGACATGCAGAATCACAGGTCCCACCCCAAACTTAGTGAATCAGAGTCTGCATTTTAACGACATCTCCCAGTGATTCACGTGTGCATTATAGTTTGAGAAGCACTGCTTTGTTTTACATGAATAGAAAACTATTCTCCAGCATACAGGTCTGCCTTCAAGGAAACATGACAAAAACTATCCTTTGATTCATCAAGGAACATATATAATTTGTGCCTGTTAGTATTATAAATTATGAACTGATGTTCATGTTTGTAGTAAGACTGTTGTGTTTGGAACTCATATTTAAAGTCTTCAATATTGGAAGATAAACCCATCTCTGAGATCCCTGATACAAAGTATCATGAGTTCTTTCTTCCTAGACATAGATGTCAAAACTTTTTCTTTGAGATGAAAAATGATAGAAAAGTGAATATTCATCTGATATCATGATCAATGGAATCATTTATTTTTCTGATTGATGCTAAATAAATGTATTTCCCATCTAGCTTATTCCAGCTATTACCACCTGGACCAGAAATCAATGACCGGCATTGCTGTAGGTGTTGGCATAGCCTTGACCTGCATCCTCATCTGTATCCTCATCTTGATTTACCGAAGTAAAGCCAGGTGTGTGTCCATTACTAGACATGTTGACGTACTTAAAGACATTTACGGTCAGTAGCCACAGAAAGCAAATCGAAATCAGACACGTTTTAGAGTTAACTGAGAATTTCTAAATATTTTGTTACTTGAGTTTTTAAAGTTAAAGCAGTATGCTCGCTTTAGAGAGGGGATTTGCTGTGCCAATAAAATAAGGACCTCATTTCCTTATTATTTTGAGATCTCTATTTTGAGTGAGAAACAAAAATTATGTCCTTGGACTTAAGTAAATAAAACAAGAGCCACTTAATTTGTTGTACCTGCTTATTGTAAGAATCCTCTAGTGTCTGAGATATTTTCATAGTCAGGTGACGATACCTGCAGTGCCTAAGTCACTGAGACCACCACCCTCCCACCATAGGACACATAGTTGAGATCCCCATACACAAGGATTAAGACAAATATGATAACTAGGAGTTGGGTGCCTATAAACTCTGTCAGGCAATCTAATTTGTGGTTTGACTTTTGACTAAATTATCAGCAGTGGCTTGCAATCAGTGAACTTGTCTAATTATAAACTTTTATATTTTAGCTTTTGTTGTATTTATTTTCGTAAGGTTCCTTTTTTAATAAAAATTTTAAAATTCAAGTTAAATACACATCAATTTTAGGTGATCCCTTCATCGCTCATCTCATTTAATTAGCATATGGAGTATTAGGAGTTTACAAATATTTGATAATTGTACCTAGAAACATACTTGGAAAGCATATTAATGAAAGTTCTAACATCTTTTTATATATTGAAATAGCTTAGTTTTACTGTCTAAGTTTCTCACTGTAAGAATTTTTATAATTATGAACTTCATGCATATTGTTGTTGTCACGTGCTGTGGAATCGGTTCTGACTCATAATGACCCTGCATAGGCTTTCTGAGGCAGGAGATTTGTCGTGAGCAGAAAGCCTCATCGTTCTACTGCAGAGCAGCTGGCGGCTCAAGCCAATTTATGGTTCGCAGTTCAGTGATCATTCTACAGAGTCGCAGCACATCTGATTTAGGAATCACATTGTCCTTAGGAATCCATAAGTCTTGGTGAGAAGGAAAGACCCTATGGATGACAATAATCTGATCCCATTGTGTTTAGGGTCACTGTGAGTCAAAGACCAAAACAACAGAACTAACAAGAACAAATCTTACAGAAGTGCTACTGTAAATTGCCCATCATTAATTAGGAAGGAATCTACTTGACTGAGCTCTGGTAGCGTAGTGGTTACGAATCGGGCTGCGAACCTTAAGGTCAGCGGTTCGAAACTACCAGCCGCTCCGCGGGAGAAAGATGAGGCTTTCTACTCCCGTAAAGATTTACACCCTCGGAAACCCTGTACAGGGCCGCTATGAGTCGGAACCAACTTGATGGCACTTAACAACAACAATTAGGAAGGAAAGTTTTATCAGTGCAACAGTCTATAAACCTAATAGGAAAATTGTAGATTAGAAAATTCTTATTTTTGTACAAGTTATAAAATAGTACTTTGTAAACACTTAAAGATTTGTTAAATGATTGCAAGAAGTCATTTTATATAAGCAGGAACTGAGGCAAAAAAAAAAAAAAAATTTTTTTAAGCTTCTTTGAATTATAAAAGTTTGCAGTAGTAAGTTGAAGTTAAAATCCAATACCCAATATCTAGAAATGTGAGGACACAGGCATAAAAACTCCATGTTTACAAAGTTGTGATTATAGGCCAAATTTGTATAACTGCCTATATTATCTTCAGTGAATTAAGATTTTCTTTTCTTGACAATATTTCAGGAAATCATCTGCTTCCAAGACTGCACAGAATGGAACTCAACAGCTATCTCGTCCCAGTGCCTCCTTAACCACTGCAAGTGAAGCAGGGAAGAGCCTGGAGGGAGCTGTGGACAATGAAGACTCCTTAATGCCAATGATAGTGCCCACAAGCTTCATTGACGCCAAGGTGCTGTGAGCTGCGAGACTGATTTACTGCACAATCATTCTCTGCACTCATCTTCTCTTTATATGTAAAACTTACTTACCAAAAAATGACGGTTGGATGTATTGTATCTATACTCCAATTAATGAAATATAAAGCAATTTCACCCAGATCCTTCCTTACATAGAATGATTGAGGAGAAAAAGTTGGGAATATTTAAAGGACAAAAGACTAACGGATAAAAGGGATACAGAAAAAACAAATGAGAAAGTAGCATAAATTTGGATAGATGGGATTATGTGGTGCATGTTGTTGTGGTTAAGTGCCATTGAGTTGGTTCTAACTCATAGTGAACCTGTATAGGGTTTCCAAGGAGTAGCTGGTAGGTTTGAACCACCAACCTTGCAGTTAGCAGTCCAGTCCTTATTCTACAGCACTACACCAGAACATCTAAGATATCTTAAACAAGATGTCATTAGTCTCTACTTACTATCATTTGGACTCCCTATATTTAGAGGATGGACGGTTTTTTATTATTCCACTAGACCATTTGAATTGACTATGAGAACAGCCCAAGTATGAATGACATTTTAAAAATAAATGCTTCAGGGTCCTTCTCTCTATGACCTGAGGAAGTTGGATCTAAGGTATAGAAATTGCATTGGAAGGCATTGCTGTGTCCTTTCAGTATAGGTAATGATAGGAGAGTGGTAGGCATTAGGAACACCAACTTAAAGCTCTTCTTAGTCACTTGGAACAAATGATGGTGTGCACTGCTACATAGTTTACAAGTTTTTTTTAATTTTTTTTTTTTAAAGCAAATCAGGAAGCAACTATAATAAATTTAACCCATGCAACAATTTTAGCAGTGGGGAGCCTATCTGTGGAGTAAAGGTGAAATCACGTTTAATGAGCAATTAATCAGGTATCCTCAAACTACACTTGGCCAGTATACAGCCTGTTTTCGTATGGTCAGCCACTGAATTAAGAATGTTTTTTTTACATTTTTAAAGAGTTAACAAAAAAAAGAAGAGGAAAATGAAACCGAGACAATATAGGACCTCAAAATCCTAGAATATTTACTCTCTGGTTCTTCACAACCAGAAGCTCACACGGTGCAATGGGTAAACACTTGGCTGCTAACCAGAAAGCCATCAGCTTGAACCACTTGCTCTGTCGGCAGGAGTTGTAGCTGTCTATTTCCATAAAGAGTTAGAGCCTTGGGAAGTGTCTGGGGCGATTCTGCCCTGTCCTACAGAATCACTGGGAGTTAGAATTAACTCAGTGGCACTGGGTTGGCCCTTTACATAAAAAGTTTACCAAGTGCATCTATAATGTATATTTCCCAACTCGTCTCTAAAATTTGTTGTTAAGAGCTGCCGAGTCAGTTCCAACTTATAGCAACCCAGTACAGTGTTTCCAATGGGCCTCTGATGGGTTTGCACCTCTGACTTTGTGGTCATCAGCCCAGTGTTTATCCTACAGCATCACACCAAAATATAACAAAATATCAGGCAATTTTGATATAAAGTTTTATCCAATTATATTTCACAGATGCACTGTACTTGTTTCTAATACAATATATTATGGGTAAACAATATAATAATTGATTTTTTTGCTGCTTTTCAGTCATTTATTCAGTTCATTCAAATGAATTCATTTCTGAGTGTCTACTAAATGCTAGGCACTAGGAGAGGTACAACAAGCAAAAAACTGGTCTAAAAATTTAAGGAAATGTCAATGAATCAAAATATTAGAACTGTGTAATTAATGTGTGAAGTTGTTGTTGATGTTTAGTGCCGATGAGTCAGTTCTGACCTATAACAACCCTGTATAGGGTTTCCAAGGAGCAGCTGGTGAGTTTGAACCACCGACCTTGTGTTTTAAACTGACTTAGCAGTCCAGCACATTAGCCCACAGCACCACACAATAAATGCTGCTGATGATTATACAACATTTGGAATCTAGTGTTTCAGGGGAGCAATTTTCTTTGACTAAGTATGGCTTATTATTCTGCAAAGATTTAAGGAGATGAGCCCCACATGCCTGCAACGCAGCAGATGGCCCCTTCTAAAGGAGATACTCCTCATGCCCTCCTCACACTTGATGCCACTTCCTGTCTCCTCCAGGCCTCTTGGCCCAAATTTTATATGCTTTGGCTCTTGCCCATTTTCTAAAAGGTCCCTCTCATCTCCCATGTTCTAAGCAATTTTATGATTCTTGCTCTCTCTCTGGGACTTATACAACCCTCTGAAGCAGGACTTTGGTACTCAGACAGTGTGATTATTTCTGCCTAGATCATCCCTCCTCTATGAGACTGGAACACTCTAACTTCATGAGTTAGACTTTTTTTTTTTAAGTTTTTGAAGGTTCCATTTGTGAATGCTTGACAAAAGAAGACGTGTCTTTTTTTTTTTTTTTTTTTTTGTAATCATTCCTTCACCCAACAAATATTTATTGAGCTCTAAATATTCGCCAGGCACCAGGCTATATATTTCCAACTACAAAATATCAAGCATTCGTTTGAGTATCTGGTTTGTATGTTTCTTTTTTTTTTTTTTTCTTTTTTAGGGTTTTATTGTGAATTGAGTGATAGTTTACATGGGAGAACATTGGTTTTACACCATTGTTTCGTTGCCGTGATTACAATTTCCTCTGTGCATCATTGTCTTTTTTTGTTTTGCAACTCAATTTAGCTTTTATTTCCAACATATACATTAAGCCACTCAACTTATTTTAAATTAATCTAGAGCATTAGAAACTAAAACTTTTAAATAGTGACCTCAGGTGTGTCAGAGTGGAACTGTGCTCCATCATGTTCCTGGGTGGTATAAGTAACTGCTAACTGAAAGGTTAGTAGAAAGACCTGGAGACCTGATTCTGAAAAATCAGCCTAAAAAAGTACTAAAATATATGGTGCTTCTGTTATCGTTAGCTTGGAACTGGACATGAGAAAGGATGAAAGAGAAAGTACAGAGGAAACAGAAAAAAAGAGTAATAATTTAAAGTGAAAGAAGTAGACAGAAAGAAATGGAGGCCTTTGAAGGAAGTTTGGAGGATAAAACTCTCAGTTCCCTTAGCATGTGGTTGTCCTATAACTTGATCCCTCGTTTATTGTTACTTTTATTGAGTAAATATGAACTTGGACCAGTTATTTCTCCCCAGCTACTTTTAAATTTTTGCAAACGTACAGAAAGGTTGAAAGGATAATTTAGTGATTACCCAAATATGTGCTGATACTTTATATTTGATTCTCTCTCTACATATGCTCACTGATTGGGATACCATTTAAGTTGTTGGAATCAATATTCTTCCCAAATACTTACACATACTTATCTTTCTTAAGAATCATCTTAGTGTGTCTTTTTGATCAGTAACAAATTTGTGGTACGCTGCATGTGTAAAAGGAGAAAGTGATGCTGGTGACCTTTTTCTTTTAACATTTAAAAATGTTTATTACTTAGGCTAGACTGAATTCTATAATGCCAAGATATTTACATGTTCCCCTTTTATTTCCCCAGGGAGGAACTGACCTGATAATTAACAGCTATGGCCCAATAATGAAAAACAACTCTAAGAAAAAATGGCTTTTTTTCAAAGATTCTAAGAAGATAAAAGCTGAGCAGGTAACCCTCCTAAGTTAGGACAAGTTTTGGCAATTCCTGGTCTATGAAATATGATTGTCAAGAAGAGGGGAACATATAAATGAATGCTTTATTTTAATTTCTGGGTTCTTACTGGACATGATTTTCTTAATGTGGAACCTGACTCTTTGGAAAGCCATGTTGAGTGACCACTGAAATGGCAGAAGAGTAATCAGAACTGTGGTTTTCAAGTAGAAATGGTGGTGGTGGGGCAGTGGAGAAAGCATTAGGGGCAGGATCATATATCAGAATCGTGGAAGCAGCTTTCCAACACTTCTTGTGCCCCAGGTAACCCTGACACGCTGCCATGCCTCCGTGAGTAACCATAGGCCTACAAAAACCCTCCATGATGATGATGGTCTCTCTTCCATATACTGAGAAAGTTTTCTGTATTTTTTGTCTAGCCTCAACGAAGATTTTCTCAAGCGGTCTGCTTGTACCAGCCAGGCACGACTGTACTGATCAGTGATGAAGACTCCTCCACGTCCCCAGGTCAGACAGCCAGCTTCCCGAGGCCCTTTGGTGTTGCTGCTGATACTGAACACTCAGCAAATAGCGAAGGCAGCCATGAGACTGGGGATTCTGGAAGGTTTTCCCATGAGTCCAATGATGAGATACACCTGTCCTCAGTTATAAGTAGCACACCCCCGACCCCTGATTCCTTCACTGGCAGTGATTCAGGTGGGGATCCTGCTGTGAGGAAGTGTGAAGACCCCGCAGTGCCGTCAGTTGCTGCGCAGACTCCATCAGTTCTTCAGCCACCATCTGCCATGCTATCCTTCGATAAAACCGATTTTCCAATCTAGACCGTCACGGTCTGGCACCCTCACCTGTCACTCTGTTCGAAGGACAATGAACAGGGAACCAAAGCCTTTTGTGAAAATCTGCATATCTCTTTGGGTATTTTAGCTTTTTTGAATGTGTTTTTTTTTTTTTTTAAACTCACGTATTTTGAATGTTTCATTGTCAGCAATGTGAATGGACAGTCAAGATCTTTGACTGAACTATAAAATATATCACTGGAGCAAAGGGAAGACTTTTGAAAGCCCCTTTGCTAACTATCTACCTCAGTTTGCCAGATGGCAAACCCTGATGACAACTTTGTTACCTCGTTTGTGGTTTTAGTGTCTCTCAGCTACATAACCAATGATACTTCCTACTAGTATATTGTTTTCATTGCTGTATGTGTAATATGTGATGTGTTTGATCAAAGGAGTCATATAGGTAGATGAGTAAGAATGTTTATCTGAAGCTCTGATTAAAAAAAAACACACCAAACAAAACTATGATATCTGCATAGTTTGGACAATATAACACCTCTGACTGTGAGGACTGTTAAACCACTGAGAAGAGAAAAAATGGGAGTAGTGTTGCTAAAAAGGCCTTTATGTCTTGGGCCTTAGAGCCTGAGTGCTTTATCTGCTGTATCCAAAACCTCAACCTGCCGAGAGCTGTGCCTTTTCTGTCTTCCTTCCCTTTGGTTGACAGTTGGCCAAAGGCTGGACTGTCTAGTTTGCAAAGCATCTCAACTTTTCCCAGTATTACTTGCAAAGCCCCTGCAGAAAATGGACTTTTAAAAGATAATGGTTAGGTTTTTGTTTTGTTTTGTTTTCACTTTTATGTTTTTAAATACAAGCTTGGCATAAAGGAGTGAAGAAATTTCATAAAATATTAAGAATAATGGTGAATGCAATAGTAGACAGTAAGATGAACTTGAGGTTATCGTAGTAACAGTGCCTTCCAGTATATATTATGAAATTCTTTGCCTTACACCTTTTGAATATTCATGAAGTTGTTTAGGACAAGAGTACCAAAAGAGTTGCCTTAAGAGTTTCTTGGAATTTACTAATAACTATTTGGGTGTATGTTACTTTACCAAAATATTTGTTTTTGGTTTTTTCTTTTTGTGCAGGTCTTGTTTAGGGATAAGTAGTCAAAGCTCTCCCAACATGTTGTGTTTTCCTGATTTCTTAGAAGAATTTGGTGTTCTTTATTTCCTCTTCCTTCAGTGTCAATGCTTTGAATGAGGGATACTAACTCCAGGAGTGAGTTAATCCTCTAGCTGGTTTGAAATCAGCCAACTGTTTACTCAGTGACATGGTCTCGGCTTTCTCTCAGTCTTGAGGCAGCACCTCCTAGGTGCCGAGCAGTGTGAGAGGATAAAGAAAGACGAGATGTAGAAAGGGAGGCCCATAGCTTTAAAAAAAAAAAAAAAAAATTTTTTTTTGAAATTATCTAGAAATTTCTTTTGAACCTGCTTGTAACAGGAATCTTAATGGGTTTTCCCTTTATAGAGGAGGTCCTATTGAATAGTATTCCAAAATGAAAAATATATATATAGGATATTAATCCCTCTATCATCTCCTCTCCCAGTGACTGATGATATAACATTTTTTGGGGGGTTGTTTTTTTTAATCTGTAGTTTTGTGCCAAACTAGATGTGTTCAGAAGCAGATCAATATAAAGTGTCAGCAACCACTTCTGAACTAAATTCAAAGTCCCCCGTTGTGTTACCTAAGTATGGGCTTCATGGCAAAACAAAAAAGCAGAGCTTCAGGTGAACAATCTGAGGCAAGGAAGAATCTGCTCCTGCCTTTATAGCTCCTGTTTTATACTACCTCCTTTTAAAGTTATTCTAGTGTTAATTTTTCCTGTACTCAGGGAACATTTTGTTACTTTTGAGCTGCCTCATGGAAGCATGGGCAAATTGACAGGGTATGGCGGGGTTTTTTATTTTATTTTTTATTTTTGTTGTTTGTTCGTTTGTTTGTAACTAGAAGTATGTGGGGCCAACTTTTATCAGTATCTAAAACTAGGGAATACTTTGAGATCATTTTATTTTTGAAACTTTCATTGATAGACAAACAAAGTAAAATTTCAAGATGAAACATCATTTGTCAGAGTTATGGAAGATGCATCTAGGACCATATGAATTTGATTAGTTTTAAAAGCCTAAAAAGATGATCTGAAGTCCTTGAGGAAAGTATTTTGTTTGGTTGTTTTTTGATGGACAGGCCCATAGTTACTGTAGCTATTTAGACCATAACTATTTGTTAATTATTTTCACAGTACATTTTCACCTTTTCATTTTGTTCTTACACAGACTTTTTCATAATAATTCTGTTACCAAAGAATTTTCAGTAGAAAGTGAAAATCTGAATATGATTTCCCAAAAGTTGAAATAACTAGAAGCATCTATAGGTATGGAGTTTATGTAAGTTAGTTACTAACCGAAAGCAGTAGGGTTTATTTTTGATTGTCATAGTTAATTAAATAGACTAGTAATTCTAACTACCTTAATTGTTGCCAGAGCATTTAATATAAGTTGTAATACTTTCTTTACCAGCAGACACTTCCAAAGAATTTTTAGTGTGTGTGTTTTTTGTTTTTTTTTTTTTTGGGTTTTTTTGCTTCAGCAAGTAAATCTTCAACTACACAGTATTAAAGTATTTTTAAGTTGTTGAAGTGACTTGTTGGAGAGAAAAAAGAAATATTTTCACCAAAGATATATATTTTGGTCTCACCGAATAAGGTATTTGGTCTCACTGAATAAGATATTTAGTGTACAGCAAAGACTTCTTCCTATTTTGAAGCAAGCTTCTTTGAAGTCTTAAGTATAAAATTTATAACCAAAATGTGAAGGTTGTCACTCATCTCTCATAGTGGTGTTACAACATGGTATTTCACTCCAAATGGTAACAATTTCTTCTTCCAAAGATTTATTTGCTATAAGTATTGATACATCCATTTAATTTTATGCCAAATATTACAAGATACTGCTTATCAGTATTTTCATACCAAAGACCACTAAAAGATAGAGGTTAGCCTATAAATAATTAGAGGTGAGCAGATTTGAAATAAATTTATTTAGAGTCTGATAGGGGATCTAGCTTTAGTAGCAAAAGATATCAAAGGTTAAGTTTACATAATTAAAGCAATAAAATTATATTGGTATTTATCAGTGTTTTATTCAAGTACTTTTTATCAGCAAATTAAAACAAAAAGAAGAAGAAACCAAAGATATTTAAGGTTACCTCCATATATAGGCAAATTTAGATGTACATTAACACTGTTGTTTTTTTGTTTTTTTTCATGTTAACCAAATATGCCTCTCCAGAACCCCGCCTGTGTGCAAATAGCATACTGCATTGGGACTTTCCATTGAATCTGCTGATTCAGCCATCGGATGTTTTTGCCAAATGTAGAGTGATAATATCCTAAGCACCTTGAGGGTGAGATGTCAACAGAATTTTCAGCAGACTTTTCCATTGTAGACCACTGTGGCAACCCCTGAATTTAACCAGTGCAATCGTCTTCCTGCTAAAAACATTACCTGGTTAACACAAAAGGCTTGAGGCCTTTTGGGAAGCAACAGGGATGTATCGATAGCAAGGAAATTTTATTACTATATAATTGGATTCTAACAGATGTGCTTTTTAAAGTTATCCATCAGTTGGTATTTCAGACGTTAGTGGAACCTTAGATAAAACAAAAATATTTTTTTGAAAACTCTGGAATTTCATATTTCGATTAACCTAAAAATAAAAACCCAACTTTAGTCACTAAATGACTTTTCAAAAATCAGCTTTCATATACACCAAGGAAATCAGATCCACAATGAAATGTTATTTATTCATTTGTCTTTGCTTCAAATAAGATACTGGGAAGAATGTCACTGATTTGCATTGGTTTGCCTTGGCCTTCTTAAAGATTTCTCCAGAATCTTGTTCACTGATGACAAATCATTATTCCTAGTTAAGTCCACATGCTATGAGTCGGAACCGATTCCACGGCACACAACAACAACAAGTGCATATGAAGATACCTTTGTAAACAATTTAAAATATGTCAGAAAGTAGAATTTAAGGCATAATTTTTAATGCAAATCCACCCAGACATGATTCCACTTCAGCAATGAAACTGGTGATTCACTTAAATACATTTATATTTCATGGAGTATAAATGTCAGATACTGAATGTCAAAACAAAATCAGTATCTTTCTAAAACTAAACATATATTTTGTAGATTTTGTTCCTACCAATTTGCCACATAAGTCTTAATGAAATTGCTTTTGTTGAAAAATTAAAATAATTTTCTGTGAACACAGAGCCGGGGGTTCTGGAGAGCACCATATACAACTGGTTGTCTGATTGTGAATTTTACTGTTGTTTAGTAAAGCATTACCATAGAAATTGGTGTTAAGTTGATTTATGCTCAGGACATAAAATCACAGGCTAATGCAATGTGTGTGTTTGCAGGTTTTAACCATCTCAGGCAGTTTCCTTTTTAAGCCTTTGAGAGTGTTTATAGTTAAAGTCTTGCATTTTTATTAACCAAATACTGTGTTAATTTCCTATTGCTGCTGTAAGAAATTGTCACAAACGTAATGGTTTAAACAGACAGATATTCTGTCTTAGAAGTCTCTAGGTCAGACGTGTACACAGGTCTCACTAGGATAAACCCAGGAGTCAGCAGTGGGGCAGCGTTCCTTCTCGAGGCACTAGAGAAGAATCCATTGCCTTGCTGTTTCCAGCATCTAGAGGCACCTTCTTACCCTTTCTCTGTCTTCAAGGCCAGCAGTGTAGCATCTCATTGGCTCAGCTTCCATCATCTCATCTCTTTCTCTGTCTCCATGAGTCTAATTTTAAGTTGGGGTAGCAGGATAATCTCCCCATCTCAAGATCCTTAATCATATTTGCCAAGTCCTTTCTGCTATATAAATTAATATATTCACAAATTCTAGGCATTAAGACATGAACATCTTTGGTTGGGCATTTCTTTGCTTACCCATAGATAGATTGTTTTTACGGAATTGTCATCCCCATAAAATGTCTACAACATTCCAGAGATTGAGAATCTGAGTTTTGTGCCTCTTGGGGATCTTTAAAATTTCAAAACCAGAAAAACCATGGGTTATTGCCTATGAAATGTACAAATATTCTCTATAAAACACTAAAATAATGAACTAGTCAATTCAGCTTTAAACATGTTGAATGTGTACTTCATAGAGAAACATCTCAATTCTGTGGCTTAACAAAGTTTCCTAAATATTTATCTCTAACTTTATGGGATTTCATTTTAGAAAACTGTTTATATTATAATCAAATTTTCTCTCTTTTTTTCTGACATGATAATGTTGTAAGGAATAAGATTTCAAAATATAGGGACTCAGAGTAGATGAACCAGGATCATGCTCAAATCCACACTTTGTTTTCTTTCTAAAAGCAGTGCTTACAACATGCAACTTTTCTTCTCTTTA